AGTTTCTTCTCTTTGTTTCTTTACATTTCTTTACTGTATGTTGGGTTTTTGGAATTGTTGGGCATTGGTTCTGTAGCTGGAATTTGGCTGCATATTTACTGTATATTTTTCCAGAACAAGATTAATTGATTTAAACTCGAATTAATAGATTAATATTTTGCTTTCAGTACAAAATTAATCGATTACTTCTTCATTTAATCGATTAGTACTGCAAGTACACTAATTTCTCTTTCAGGAACAACAAACTAAAGATCTTTGGTATCTTGACAGTGGTTGTTCTAAACATATGGCAGGAGATATTACAAAGTTTGACAATTTAAAACCAAAGAATGGTGGGACTATCATCTATGGGAATAATAACAAAGGAAGAATTCTTGGAATAGGTGACATCAAATGCACAGAATCAGGTATTATTAACAATGTACTATATGTTGAGGGTTTGAAACATAATTTGATCAATATCAGCCAGCTGTGTGATAAAGGACACAAAGTTATCTTTGGACAAGAACAATGTCAAATCATCAAATCTGATTCAGACCAAGTACTGATCACTGGTAAGAGGATCAACAACATTTACATGTTAGATACTAACTCTGCTAAAAACTGTTGTTTAATTTCTAAAGAGAATGACTCCTGGTTATGGCATAGAAGATTAGCTCATATTCATATGAATAATCTCAATAAATTGATTTCTAAAGATCTTGTAATTGGTTTACCTAAACTTAAGTTTGTGAAAGACAAAATATGTGATGCATGTTAAAAGGGCAAGGAGGTAAAGAATTCTTTCTCGCAGAAAAATATTGTTTCAACGTCAAGACCGCTTGAACTTTTGCACATGGATCTCTTTGGTCCTTCTAGAACTATGAGTTTAGGAGGGAATCTATATGCATTGGTTATAGTAGATGATTACTCAAGATTTACCTAGACAATGTTTTTAAAATTAAAATATGATACTTTCCATTTGTTTAAGAAATTTTCCAAACAAATTCAAAAAGAAAAAGGTTATTTCATATCTTGTATTCAACGTGATCATGGGGGAGAGTTTTCAAATGAAAATTTTAATAAATTTTGTGAAAAACATGGTATTAAGCATAATTTTTCTGCTCCTAGAACTCCTCAACATAATGGTGTAGTCGAGAGGAAAAATCGTTCTCTTGAAGAGTGAGCTAGGACAATGCTTAATGAAAAAGCATTACCAAAATACTTTTGGGCTGATGCCGTAAGTACTGCTTGCCATGTACTAAACCGTGTTTTAATTAGACATTTTTCTCAAAAAGACTCCCTATGAATTATACAAAGGAAAAAAGCCTAACATAAATTACTTTAGAGTATTTGGATGTAAGGTCTTTGTTTTAAACAATGGAAAGGAAAATCTTGGAAAGTTTGACTCCAAATCAGATGAAGGTATTTTCTTGGGTTATTCATTAAATAGCCATGCTTATAGAATCTTCAACAAAAGACTAAATACTGTAGAAGAATCTGTTCATGTTGTATTTGATGAAACTAACCCAAGTATGCAGAAAATTTTTGAGTATAATACAAAAGACGACTTTTTAGCTGATAAAATGTATCAGTTAAAATTACCAGAATAAACAATTTTTCAAAAACAGGAGGAATCTATTGAAGAATCTGAGGAACAGTTGCCCAAAGAATGGAAGACTACAAGAAATCTTTCAATAGACAACATCATCGGTGAAATAAATCAGGGAGTTTCTACTAGAAGATCTTTAAACAAATTTTGTAATCACATGGCATTTGTATCACAAATTGAACCAAAAACCATATATGATGCATTAAAGGATAATAACTAGATTAATGCTATGCATACTGAATTAAATCAATTTACAAGAAATGAAGTATGGGAATTAATTCCAAAACCAAATGATGTTAATATTGTAGGAACTAAATGGGTTTTTAGAAATAAAATGGATGAAAATGGTATAATTACAAGAAACAAGGCTAGATTAGCTGCTAAAGGGTATAATCAGCAAGAAGGAATTGATTTTGATGAAATATATGCTCATGTTGCTATATTAGAAGCTGTTATACTTCTACTTTCTCATTCCTCAATAAAGAATTTCAGGTTATTTCAAATGGATGTCAAAAGTGCTTTCTTAAATGGCTACTTGAATGAAGAAGTTTTTGTTACACAACCACCTGGTTTTGAAGATCATATTCGTCCAGAATATGTCTACAGATTAAAGAAAGCATTGTATGGTCTCAAGCAAGCCTCTAGATAATGGTATGAAAGGTTAAGTAATTTTCTCTTATCAAAGGGATATCAAAGGGGTTTGGTTAATAAAACTTTATTTCTTAAGAAATTCAATAATGATATTATTCTAGTTCAAGTATACGTTGATGGCATCATATTTTGAGCCACTAATGAGTCTTTATGTAAAGATTTTATCAAAGATATGCAGGGAGAATTTGAGATGTCTATGATTGGGGAACTTAATTACTTTCTTGGGTTACAAGTTAAACAACTTCAAGGAGGAAGTTTTCTTCATCAATCAAAATACTGCAAAGAGCTTCTAAAGAAATTTGAGATGCAGCATTGCAAAGAGGCATCAACACCAATGTCCACCAATTGCTATCTTGATGCTGATGAAAAGGTAAAACCAGTAGATCAAACGAAATATAGAGGGATCATTGGTTCTTTATTATATCTCACAACAAGTAGACCTGACATTATGTTTAGTGTTTGTATGTGTGCTAGGTTTCAATCTGCTCCAAAAGAATCTCATCTTACTGCTGCAAAAAGGATCCTCAAATATCTCAAAGGAACATTAGATGTTGGGTTGTGGTATCCTAGTGAGTTCAAACTAAATCTAATTGGATACTCTGACTCAGATTTTGCAGGGTGTAAGCTTGACAGAAAAAGCACCAGTGGCACTTGTAATCTCCTAGGAAGTAGTCTAATCTCATGGCATAGTAAAAAGCAATCATGTGTTGCTCTTTCTATAGTTGAAGCCGAGTACATTGCAGCTGGAAGTTGTTGTGCTCAATCCTTGTGGCTCAAACAACAGCTTGAGGATTATGGTTTAATTCTCAATAAAATCCCTCTTTTATGTGATAATACCAATGCCATTATATTAACAAAAAATCCAATTCAGCATTCTAGGACAAAACATATAGAAATTAGACATCATTTCATTAGAGATCATGTTTTAAAAGGTGATTGTGAAATTTTCTTTATAGAAACTGAGAAAAAATTAGCTGATATATTCATAAAACCTCTTGCTCGTGATCGATTTTATAAAATCTGAACTGAATTAGGCATTTTAGATGCATCAAACATCACTTAGTTCCCATTTCTGACTATTTTAATTGATATAAACTAGTTTTAATCGATTAATTTCATTAATAATACTACTGTTCGTACTATTTTAATCGATTAAATTTTGATTTAATCGATTAAATGCCCCCAGGATTTCAATGTACATCTGTTTTAATCAATTAAAATTTTATCTGTATCAATTAAAATCATTAACATAATCAATTTAATCAATTATGTCCTGTTTTTAATCGATTATTCTTATTGAAAGAAAATTAAAGGCTTTAGTTAATGGTTGTTCTTGTAACATGCTTCTAAAGCATGGTTCCCTTATCTTTACACCTGTCTATTGTATTTATTACAAACGTGTTAACGAAGATAAGTTTGAATAAACTTTAATTGGTTCTTAAATGAATTATACATCTCATTGGTATCATGGTATTATTTTTGTAATACTGTTTTTTTGTTATTATTTTACTTGTTTTACCCCTCTCTTCCTTATTTTTGATGAAGTCAAAGGGGGAGAAATGATTAATTTTGATATACTATTATTTTAGGGGGAGAAATCTAGGGGGAGAAATGATTCATTTTGAATACTCACTAATCTATATATTCAAGTGACTTCTTCTGCAGAATCGTTCAAAGAGGTGTTTGTCTTCATCAAATAGGGGGAGACTGAAAGTGATGAAGATCTTATTGAATCATTTGATAAAATGAAGATCTTATTGATTTGATGAAGTCAAAGGCTATTCTGATGAAGTCAAAGGTTACTTGGTTAAAAGGGTAGAGTGATTAGTGAGTCTACATCTATACTAGGTATAATCATTCATATCTCTCTACTGCATGAGGTTTCATCATTTAAAAGATTTTGAAAATGCCTCTAAAGATGTTTAATCTGTTAAAAACCAAAGTAATTGGTTAAATAGTTTTTAAGAAATTGTTTTAACCAATATTATATGAGCTTTATCAGTTAAAATGTTCCTAACACTTACATAACAGGTTTTTAACTGATAAGTTTTTGAAATAATCGATTAAAACCTTTTAAAACATTCACTGGAACTATTTTAATTGATATATCTTCGAATTAATTGATTGTTTTCATTAAAGGAGTTTTTGAAAACCTTCTGTCAGTGTTTTAACTGATATAGTTTCGAAATAATCGATTAAAATCACTTAAAATGTTCTGGGAAGTGTTCTGGCAGTATTTTAATCGATATAACTTGAAATAATCGATTAAAACCACTTGAAGTACTTTTTAATCGATGTAATCCAGCTTATGATCAATCAGAATGATTTTTTGATTGATCAAAATAATTTTAATCGATTAAACTACGATTTAATCGATTAAAACAACTTAAGGAACTTTTTGTAGCTTGAATTTTGCTGCAGGTTGGTTCAAGAACTCGAAGTTGGTTCTTGGTGAAGGTTTAGGTGCAAGGACTAGAATTTTGGTTCTTGTGGTAGGTTGGGTGTGTGATTGGAATCTGTAATCTGTAAATCATTCAATCTAGTGGAACTCAACTGGAATTTGGCTGAGAACTAGACATAGCCATAGGATTGGGTGAACCAGTATAAATCTTGGTTGTATTTTTCTAAACCTTACTCTCTTTAATTCTGCTGCTATCTTTATTTCAATTGCTTGTTTTGCTTGATTCAAGAATTGGTCAGAACTCTTAATCTTTGAAATAGATAATCTATAAATTGCAAAAATATTTCAAAGATCAATTCACCCCCTCCTCTTGATCTTAGCCTCATTTTCTAACATGCTGAAGTGATGGGTGGTGCAAAGCGTCGTGCATCTTTGTGGAGATTGGGTTAGGGTGCAGTCGTGACAGCAACTAGGGCTCGCGGCAAAGGCTGGGAGGCACGACCACGACTCGACGGTGTTCACGATGGCCTCACAGTGGTGGTGCACGGTGAAGATGGTGGAAGCTGCCGTTGAGGCTAGGGTAGTGGGGTGAGTGGCTAGATGATTGGGAGATGGAGATGCGGTGGCTAGTGAAGGAGAAGTTCCAAGATGAGGGGCGAGTGAGGGCTGTTGATGGTGATAGTTGGAATGAGATGAGGGAATGGTTGCTGGCTGTGTGGGAGGCCTTTGGTGACTCACGCGGTGAGTGAGGAGTAAAGGGGCGAGGGTGATCCTGTGAGGTGGATACAATAAGGGAGGTAGGGATGGAAAATGAGTGGCCCTAGTGAGTTGGAGATGTGTGGGGTCAAGGCCGAGAGCTAGAGTAAGGTGTGGAATGTGTAAAGTGGAGAGAAAAAAATGTGTGTCTGTGGAGTGAAGGAAAAAAATGGGATATCCTCCGTGAATCCCCTTCCCCCTTTACCATTCTTTCCTTTTAAAGGGAAAATTAAGTTACAATTAGTGTAAGTTATTATGGATGGGCTAGGCCCAAAAATAAAATTTTGCATTGTAAATTTTTATTCTAAAAAGTTACTACTTAATTTTCCTTTCTTTATTATTTTTTTCCTTTTTTAATATTTTAATATTTTTTTTGAAATATGTTGTTATCTATTTATTATTATTATTATTATTATTATTATTATTATTATTATTATTATTATTATTATTATTTTATTTTTATCTACCCTGTCGAAATTGGGTGCTGACAATAGGTTTATCCAAACTAAATTTTGTGAAAGATAGTATGTGATGCATGTCAAAGGGGCAAACAAACAAAAAGTTCTTTTATACAAAAAATATTGTATCAACTTCAAGACCGTTTGAAATTTTACACATGGATCTCTTTGGACCTTCAAGAACTGTAAGTTTAGGTGGTAATCTATATGCATTAGTTATTGTAAATGATTTCTCAAGATTCACCTGGACAATTTTTTGAAATTAAAATTTGATACTTTCCATGCTTTCAAGAAACTTGCAAAGCAAATTCAAAATGAGAAAGGTTATTTTATTTCCAACATTCAAAGTGATCATGGGAGAGAATTCTCAAATGGAAATTTTGATAGATTTTGCGAAAAACATGGTATTAAGCATAACTTTTCTGCTCCTGGAACTCCTTAACAGAATGGCCTAGTGGAAAGGTTAAATTGTTCTCTTGAAGAGCTAGCTAGGACTATGCTTAGTGAAAAAGCCTTGCCAAAATATTTTTCGGTTGATGCCGTAAGCACTGCTTGCCATCTACTTAATCGAGTTTTAATAAGAGGATTTCTCAAAAAGAATCCCTATGAACTTTATAAAGGCAAAATGCCAAATATAAATTACTTTTGAGTGTTTGGATACAAAGTCTTTGTTTTAAACAATGGAAAGGAAAATCTTGGAAAATTTGATTCTAAATCAGATGAAGGGATTTTCTTGGGATATTCATTAAATAGTCATGCATATAGAATCTTTTATAAAAGACTCAAAATAGTGGAAGAATCTATACATCTTGTCTTTGATGAATCTAACCCAAAAACATAGAAAAATTTAGTTTGTGATGTAGATGAAGAAAGTTTAACTGATAAAGTGTATAATTTAAAAATGCCAAAATCCACTATTTTCCAGAAATAAGATGATATTCTTGACGAATCTGAAGTGAAATTTCTCAAAGAATGGAAGCTTCCAAGAAATCTCTCAATAGATAACATCATTGGGTAGATTAATTAGGGAGTTTCTACTAGAAGTTCTTTGAATAAATTTTGTAATCATATGACCTTTGTTTCACAAATTGAACCAAAATCTGTAACTAATGCTTTAAATAATAACAATTGGGTAAATGCAATGCATAAATAATTCAACCAATTTACAAGAAACAATGTATGGGAATTAATTCCTAAACCAATTGATGCAAATATTGTTAGTACTAAATGAGTATTTAGAAATAAAATAGATGAAAATGGTGTTATCACAAGAAATAATGCAAGGCTGGTTGCAAAAGGATAAAATCAACAAGAAGGAATAGACTTTGATGAAACATATGCACCTATTGTTAGATTAGGAGTTGTTAGACTTTTACTTGCTTATGCTTCTATGAAGAATTTCAGGTTATACCAAATGGATTTCAAAAGTGCCTTCTTAAATGGTTACTTGAATGAGGAAGTGTTTGTTGCTCAACCTCTTGGATTTGAAGATCATGTTCATCCAGAATTTGTTTACAAACTAAAAAAGGCCCTGTATGGTCTAAAACAAGCACCAAGGCAGTGTTATGAAAGGTTAAGTAATTTTCTCACTTCAAAGAACTATCAAAGAGGTGTTGTTGATAAGATTTTGTTCCTTAAGAAAATCAATAATGAGACCATTTTGGTTCAAGTATATGTTAATCATATAATATTTGGTGCTACTACTGAATCCTTATGCAAGCACTTCATCAAAGAAATGCAAGGGGAATTTGAAATGTCTATGATGGGTGAGATTAATTACTTCCTTGGATTACAAGTCAAATAATTAATTGGAGGAAGTTTTCTTCATCAAACCAAATACTGTGCAAAAATTCTCAAGAAATTTTAGATGGAACACTGCAAGGAAGCATCTACACCAATGTCCACTAACTGTTATCTTGATGTAGATGAAAAAGGGAAATCCATTGATCAAAGTAAATATAGGTGGATAATTGGTTCTCTATTATATCTCACTACAAGTAGGCCTGATATAATATTCATTGTATGCATGTGTGCAAGATTCTAGTCAACTCCTAAATAATCTCATTTTTCTACTGTAAAAAGAATCCTAAAATACCTCAAGGGAACATTGAAGGTTGGCTTGTGGTATCATGGTGAGTCAAAACTAAATCTAATTTGTTATTCTAACTCAGTTGCAGGCTCGAAACTTGACAGAAAAAGCACAAGTGGAACCTATCATCTTCTTGGAAGCATCCTAATTTCATTGCATAGCAAAAAGCAAGCATGTGTTGCTCTACAACAAAGGCAGAATATATTGTTGCTGGAAGTTGTTGTGCCCAATCTTTATAAGTCAAACAACAACTTGAAGATTATGTTTGATTCTTAATAAAATTTCTCTTCTGTGTGATAATACTGTTAGAATTATAGGCTGAGATCAAGAAGGGGGGGTGAATTGATCTTTACAAACTTTTTCATAACTTACAGTTACCGATTAACAATTTCAAAGATTAAGAAATTTGATTAAGTATTAAACCAAGAAAACCAAACTAAATTGAATAAAGTTCAAGTAAAATTAAAGAAAGTGATGGAAGAGGAAAAGAAACACCAAGAATTATACTGGTTCACTCAAACCTCTGGGCTACATCCAGTTCTTAACCAAATTCCAGTTAAGTTCCACTAGATTGAATAGTTTGATTTACATAATCAAATTACAGACAATCTAACCTGCACCAAGAACCAAATTTTAGTTCTTGAACCTAACCTGCAACCAAATTCCAGTTATAGAACCAAACCTACACCAAGAACCAAATTCCAGTTCTTAAAGTTGTACCAAGAACCAAATTTCAGTTCTTGAATCCAACATGCAACCAAATTCTAGTTGGAGAACCAGTGCCCAATCTTCCAGACACCAAGAAAATACAAAATATAATTGAAAGAATGAAGAAACTAGAACAATAAAACCCAATTATGTAGATGCAGAAATCCCACTGCAGAATGAGTTTCTTCACAAGCAAGATTACAAAAATGCCTCAAGAAAGAACTTCAAAAATTCCCACAGAAAATAATGCACTTCTCTCTTGAAAAGATCTCTATTGATTGTTTGAATGATTTCTTAAAGATATGTTTTTTAAATGTTGAAGCAAATATGTTTATATAGAGATTTTTCTAACAAACTGGTTTAATTAATCGGTTATTTCACTTTTAATCGATTAAAAAATCTTGATTCGAACTGTCATAACTAATGAAAATATCATTTAATCGATTAAAATGTTCTACAACACTTTCCAGAAATATTTTAACTAATAAAAATGCGGTTTAATCGATTAAAACAGTTACACAAAAATCCTTAAGTGATTTTAATCGATTAATTCAAAGTTTAATCGATTAAAATACTGACAGAACATTCTCTAAAGCTTATTAAGTGTTTTTAATCGATTAATTCAAATATGTATTGATTAAAACTGCTGTAGAACATGCTTACACTTATTTTAAGTGATTTTAATAGATTATTTTGAATATGTATCAATTTAAACTGCAATAGAACATTCTTACACTTGTTTTAAGTGGTTTTAATCGATTATTTCGAAAATACATCAGTTAAAAATGTGTCAGAAGTTTTTTTGTGGATTTTAATCTATAAATATATTAGTTAAATCCGAGACTTAAGAGCATTTAACCGATTAAAAGGATTTTTAACAGATTAAACAGGTTTAGAGGCATTTTTACACTTTTCAAATGATAGAACCTCATGTTGTAGAAATGGATTGATGATTATACCTACTTAATATTGATGCAGACTCACTAAACACTACATCCCATATCCCATAAATCCTCTGACTTCATCAAATATTTCCTTATTCCATAAATCCATCAAATCTTTAAGATCTTCAATCATCATCAATCACCCCTTATTTGATGAAGACAAACTCCTTTTTGAATCCTGCAAAGAAGTCACTAGGTGTTTCTGTGTTAGTGAGTTTATTCAATATTTATTTCTCCCCCTTTGACTTCATAAAAAATAAAGAAAAAAGAAGTTAATCAAAATAAAGCATGCATAATACATTAAAGATTCAAAGTTTTAGAAGCGAGTAAAATGTTACAGATCTAGAAAAATTAAAAGAAGAGAACTGTGATAAAAAGATGGACAATATTTTTCTATCTCCCAGATCTTGATCTCTTGAACATTCTTGTAGCAAGAATTTGAGAGAAAGATCGGGTGGTTAAATGAAGAGAAGAAAGAGTGATTAAGAAGAAAAAGAGAGTAAGTAGGAGTTAAAGAAGCAAAACCCGATTTTGAAAAAAATAGAGACCAGATCTCTGTCATTCAGCAGAGCATGATTGCTCCCCCTGGGTGTAAGCACCCATGCTATGATGAAGGCCAGCAACCTTTGTTCTAGCCTAATCTTCCCTTAGAGATATTCCCCTTGGAAACCTTGACTCCTTCATCTTAGAGACCAACTACCTGCTCACATATTCAAAGATGAATTATGGAGTCTATGAGACAGTCAATGGAATCCTGTTGTCTTTCCAGCTCTTTCCAATTGAAATGTTCTTTTTACCGACTATAGTTGTATTGGAATTGGACAGTGGGTTTGCAGAATGCATCAACTAATTTGTTCTTTTAAGAGGATAGGGATTGACTGGTCAATAGTGCTTTTAATACT